AACGAAGACTTCGCCAGCAGTCAACGTTTGAACGAGTATCAAGGCAGCGAACCCATGGACAACACTGATGCCTCCAGCGCGCAAAGTGACCGTGAGGACTTGGGCATCAACAAGAAATCTAGCGAAGTTCTCAACCATCGTGAGGCTTTCCAGAACCCTAGGATGCTTCGTCGTCTGGGGCTGGAGGACGTCATTGTGGATGATTGGTTTGACTTTGTTGGCTTTCTTGAAAGGGGTTGGTTCCGTAGGGTCTGGATACTGCAAGAGGCTCTACTTGCACGGGATATCGACATGTTCTGGGGCCCTTGTTGGATGTCAAACGAGGATCTGATGGAGGCGATTATGTTCTTCTCCGCGACGCCGATGGAGAGTGAGCTGATCAATCTTCTCCAGTTCCACGTCTCGGATGAAAGCTGGGTGCGTATGCCTCGTACCGCCACCGCAGTTGCATTCGTATTGGAAAAACTTCTCGAAGGAAACGCGTGCGGGCAGGAGAGCTATATGGTAGCTGTGCATAATGAAGTGAGCGTATTCGGCAACAGCGCTGCACTGCTCGACCTCTATCTCGGTCTCGCAAGCGATCAGCAAGCGACTAATCCGAAAGATAAGATCTATGGAATCCTCGCCTTGTTGCAGAAGTCCGCGGAACAGCACTTTGATCAGCAGTACCCTATCACGGTCGATTATGGAATCGAGACCGCCGAACTCTATACCAACATTGTCTCGTACATCATGAATCACACAAATTCCCTTGGACTGCTAAACAAGGTCCATGGCAAGAACTGGGGCGTTAGTCAGGTCACCGACCTACCATCTTGGGTCCTAGACTATTCACTACCTCAGATACACCCAATGTGCGTAGAAATGAGAAATCTGGAAGGCAACAAGTTCAACGCTTCTGGAACCACGGAAATCCACCAATCTCGTTTTTCTATCAAGGGAAGCCAGCTGTCAACTCTGGCATGGATCATGGATGAGGTTACCGCAACAGGAGAATCGGGACTTGAGATGGAAGAGGGCCGATTTGAAGCTACTGCGCAGCTGGTTCTTGGGCTTCCTCAGCCGTATAGGACGGGGAGCCCTTGGTTGAAGTCCTGTGGAGAACGTTGATTAGTGACTACACCAATACCACACATCCGGCCCCAGCGGAACTTGCACAGTCTTCCTGTTGACACTTGGTAACGGAAATGATCAAACGAGTTGGTCGCTTGGTCCTCGCTGGAGAAACCTCACGGTCAGAGGCACTTTTGTCCTTGGTCAATCTGAAGGCATTGCGAACGCTCGACAGTACTGGGACGATACCCGGTATTGAAATGATTGTTGACGCATGTGAGAAGGTAGGCATTTACGAAAGCCACTACGACAGCGAAGTGGTCCAGAACAATCCTCAAAACGAGCTGTATGACAATGCCTACCCCTACAAAAACTCGTGGGGGCAAGGACACACCAGCGCCGTGCCTTCCGCACCATAAATGGCCTTCTGGGATTAGGCCCCGTATCATCAAGCCGGGAGACGTGATCGCAATCATTCCGAGTGTCAAGACTCCGCTGATTCTGCGTAAGGAGACTGAGGCAAGTGATGCATATTACCAGCTTCTTGATGAGGCGTATGTGCATGGAGTTATGCACGGCGAAGCGCTGGAGGATGGCACGCGTTGGACTGATGTTATCCTCGTCTGATCCGTAGATGCCACGTCTGCTGGTGCACGGGCTGTTCAAAGCCGCCTCTCTCTCCGTCCTTAGAGTTGATTTGAAAGGGTAACATGCCCTTTTGCAGTGTCTACCAAAAGATCCCCTGAACGTACTGTACGAAGCAAGGTTCGTATGTTGCGACCGGCGACTACCCACCGCCTTGCGATCCATGTACTGCTGCTAGTCTACCGAGGAAGATAAGACTGCAAGATGGAATAGAGTGTTCACTAGCTCCAGCTCCAGCACCAGTCCAGAAAGCATCCGTTGATACAGCTGTGGAACTTGATCGACTGTCTCATCATCGGAACTTACTAGACGTTGCCCGGTCAGACAGTCATGTTAAACTTGAGCAGTCCAACTTATGCTAGCGCTTTTACTTCAGCACGTGCCTTCGCACGTGACAGCTTACATGCAGACCGCAGATGTGACGACTTTCCCTAGCAGAACGAACAGGCTTATCTATAGCCTGCTCAATCTAATAAAAACTAAGATGAAGCTTGCTTCATCTTTGTATTGGAGACAACCTAGACCTACTTTACAAGATGCAGCATCGGCCTCCGGAGCCTCCTAGCTTCCCTGTCGTTTGTGACGCTGCCTCTTGTTTTGGTCTACTGCGACTTCTGCCGTTCTAAACTTCCGCTGCGATATCAGCATCTTGCTCCAGCTCAGTGGGAACGGAGCGGATCATGCCAGTCCCAATTTGGTGGATTCCCACCTGTTGCGCTTGGTAGACAACCCGAGAGACAGGACAGCGGGTGGAAAGCCGAACGGTCGACAGGCCTGGGACCAGATCGGTCGTCCGCTCAACTGCATGCGCTCCCTGTGCCTTGGTTATGACGCGTGGGCACGATGGATTCTGGAGGGAATCACCCTGTCCGGCACCGGCTTGCTTCCTAGCCAACACGTTCCTCATGGGCTCAGCCTATCAATCTTCCACTCTCCGCCGCCATCGTCTTTCAACGTGTACCTGAACCGATCATGCAACCTGCTCTCTCTTCCCTGCCAGAACTCAACCATCTCCGGCTTAACCCGTAGCCCGCCCCAGAACTCGGGCACGGGAATCTTGTCCTGTCCATGAAACCTCTTCTCCACCTCCTTGACTTGGTCGTCTAATTGCTCCCGGGTCTCCAACACGCTGCTCTGTCGGCTCGCCCATGCGCCTAGTCGTGATCCGCGGATCCGGGTGTCGTAGTAGACCTGGCTCTCCTCCGCCTTCAATCGCTCCACTGGCCCCTCCACCCGCACCTGCCGTTCCAGTTCGTGCCACCAGAACGTCAGACTCGCGTAGGGGTTGCTCTCGACGTCCTTTGCTTTTCTGCTCGTGCCCCAGTTGCTGTATATCACAAAGCCCTTGTCGTCCAACTCTTTTAGGTACACCATGCGAGCGGAGACTTTGCCCGAAGGCAGGTGGGCGGTAGACAAGGTGACGGTCTCGGGGATATGTACGTTTTGCTGTTGAGCTGTTTCGAACCAGGCGTGGAATTGGGAGAAGGGATTCGAGTCGAGCTGATCAATGGTCAAGGAGCCTTTTGTGAACTGTTTGGCTTGTGGCGAATCGTTGGTACCGCCCGGCGCGAAGATGCGCTTGTTGCCGGACTGGTTGGACATGGTGCGGCAGTGCTGGGTTGGATATGTGCCGATGGAGCGAGAGGAGCGAAGTAGTATATTGAATAGGCGCATCAATGGGATCCACGGATTTTGGACCAATTCGATTTAGGTTCAGGTACGAGACCTGTTGGTGGTTAAGCGAGGTGTGAACATCAAAGTACAGGATCGAGAGGTGAAGGTGAAGGTGAAGGTGAAGGTGAAACTGAGTCAAAGTGGTGTGACGCAAGAGCGGGACGTGCGGTGAGATCTTCCGACAGGAATCATGTACTGTATATATCCGAGCTTTCGACCTTTACTTACGAGAGACAGCACCCTTCATGCCCGACAGAAGAACAACATGCGCCTGAAGCGCTGTACATCCCCCAAAATTCAGTAATATCCTGTCTGACCCGCTCGTCCTCAATCTCTCTCTAGCGCCGCACCTCTCAACCCGACATGGCGACACCAACGAAACAACACATCGCCGTGACGCTCCTCTCGCGCGCCCATTCCCCCGATACCTCCAACAGCATCTTCCGCGATCGCGTCAAGCAAAAGCCACTGCTACTACGTGCCACTTCCCCGGATCCATCCACCGACGCCCGCGCCCAGCGCCAGAAGGCGCGCCTGCAAAAGGCCGCCGCACGGCGCAGATCGAACAAAACGCGTCCGTTATCCGCGAAGCAGAAGCGCGCGCTCTGTATCTACGATATTCCAAAAGAGCAGCAAAAACATGCCATCTATGAGCCGCTGCACGGGATGTGGTGCAACTACATACGCGAGGTACTGGGACATGCAGGAGCTTACGTCGCGGCGCAGTCGCACGGTCCGATGCTGCTCAGCGCGGATTATCACGGTGCCAAGGTCGAGGTGGTCAGGAGTAGATGTGTGGACAGGGTTGGGTTGAGAGGGATCGTGGTCAAAGATACCAAGTTCACCTTTGAAATAGTCACTGAAGCGAATGAATTGAAGAGTAAGGACAAACTGGAATGGTATGGTGCGCAGGCGAGGACTGACTGAGTGACAGCTCTCCCGAAAGAGCATACTGTCTTCCGCTTCAAAGTCCCACATGCCGGAAAAGAGATTACTGACGGCAGCGCTGCCAGGCCCTTGGTGTTCGAGATTCACGGTTCTCAGCTCGAGCATCGGGCGCCGGACCGTGCGAACAGAAAGTTCAAATTGCATATTGATCCTGACCTCTGAGGGAACACGACTCGGCAAGATCAATCTCTCCGTCCGGGTCATTGTCATTGCAAAGCAGTGTAAGGGCAACTTATGTCGGACTTGACATTTAGACACTCGGAACGGTCCATTCTCCCGGTATTACTGTTTGCTCACAGGCACAGCATTGGAATCCCTAGACAGCTACATATGGCACCTTGGCCAGTGGGACGTAACGACCCTGTAAACAGAGAAACACTTGGGTCGGCAAAATGCAGACAAAACGAACTGCACCCGGGATTCCCGTGCAGTTACCAATTCAAAGTACTGGCTGGGCAGTCAAGTGCTTATGTATGGCAGAGCGGACGGAATGCCCATGTCTCATCCGCTTGTAACTGTTCGTCCGGTACCCGATGTTCGCACCAATCACGGCCTTGCAGATTTACTACGCTTGGACCCATGCACGAGCATTACGGCAAAACGAAAAAATAATTCTGCAACACCCTACTCCTGAACGGACTCTCCACTACGGAGCAAACGCAAAAGAGGTTGCACACGCCTGCCCCCTGACCGATTTGAACGATCGCCCTCGACATTTCTCGGCATCCTTGTGGATACTAGTGTCGCGCTCTACCAACTGAGCTAAAGGGGCAAGTAATCATGTGATGTGGTTATGTTTACGTGTAACGATATAATATCAAACTCAGACTCATTGACACATTCTTGGGTCAAGTTTTCGAACGAGACGACGCACAAGACGACAGAGAACTGAAAGGACTTGCGACGTGGGGTAGGAAACCAGCTGCCTTCAAGAAATCGGCACAGAAACCAAAAGAAAATCAAACATGTTTTCTATTGATCCGTCGTTAGTTCCAGGTTTTGGGACAACTCCAAGTGACCAAGTGCCGACGCAAGATATCCGTCACAAACAACGCAAAAAATTGGCCTTCCGAATCCACAGACACACTGATCATCTGTTATTACCTTCCAGCAACCTCGTCTTCTACTTCTCCCGTACGCGCAACTCCTCGCCACTAGTACTCGACTTGCTCTCCCTTGGCAACGTCCTGACTGCCGTCTCCGGGTCCACAACAGAGTTTCCCTGCTGGCCGCAGCAACCAAATCCGGGTTTTCCGCCTTCAACCGCGCAAAATTTTCTTCTGCGTCCCAGACCCAGGGCGTGTCGGCCTCAAAGACGAGATCCATTTCCTCAAGCGTCCTCTGGTTCGTTTCGGGATAAAGAGCCCACACCATTGGAATGGTGATGACGTTGCACGCGCCCTGTCATCATGTCAGATATGGGTAGTAGGCGTTGATGGACTTCGACTTACGAAGATGTATAGGGTTTTCTCGCCGATGGCGTTGAACATGACAGGACAAAGGAGCGTGAGCCAGCTGGAAAGAACATGTGTTAGCAATCTAGAAGAGCCGTCATGGCTGAGGTAGGAAACCCACCCATTTCCGATGCTCCATCCCACAACACCCCAAGCGTTGCCCTTTGCGCGAACTTCAAGAGGGAAGATTTCCGCAGGGTAAAGCCATGGCACCGTTAACCATGTCGCACCAAACACGGACGTGAAGATAAAGACAAAGGATGCGGCAGCGGCGCCGTAGGAAGCCGCAGCGCTGGCGTTGCCGGCTGCAGTTGCGTTCAGTCCTGCTCTCGCCATGCCGCCGGCCAAGAACATGGCGATGCCTTGGCCGACAGAACCCCAGTAGAGCGTCCAACGACGACCGATTCGGTCCAGGGTGAAAACGCAGATGAGGGTCGCGAACATGTAGAAGATATTGTTGAGACCGGAGATCCATTGGGATTTTTCTGCTCCGAAACCTGCGATGCGGAATATTGCTGTGGCTGGATCAGTCATACGTTCAATGGCGGGGAGGGGTGTGAGGCTTACTCGGAGCATAGATGGTCACACCGGCAATTCCAATCCATTCTTGCAAGATCTGCAGCCAAATGACCAACTGCACACGTCTTGCGGTATGCAGCTTTCCTTGGTTAATGCCAAACAGCATGGCGATGTAGGTGTTCCTTCCGGAGGTCTCTCGCTCGTGCTGAACGATGTGCTTGATATCGCTGAACTCGGCGTCTGCTTTGCCAGCATCGTCTCCCGTCTCTCCACGCAGACGACCCAAGATGTACTTGGCTTCCTCGTCCCTGCCAACCTTGCACAGCCAGCGCGGCGACTCGGGGAAGAACCACACGATAGCCAGGAGGAGCAGAAGAGGGATAATCTGGAAGGCGATGGGAAATCTCCTAGTTTTGTCAGTCCTATCCCCCAAACATCAGTCAAGGCTGATTCCATACCATCGAAAAGCGCTGTTGCCACCATCGATAAAGGACAGACCAAACTCCAGCCAGTATGCGACCACAACACCAAAGATATTGAGGGTAAATTCTATGGCAATGAACTGCCCACGCGAAGTGTGTTCTGCAGTCTCCGTAGCCCAGACCGGTACAATAGCATTAAGGATTCCGGTTCCGATACCATTGACCGCTCTTGCGCAGATCATCCAACTATGGTTCTGCGCGGAGCACTGCAAAGATGCACCCAAGATGGCCCAGACAGCACCGAGTGCGATGGTCTTGATCCTGCCAACCTTGTCGCCTACCCAACCTCCGAGCAGACAGCCGAATAGAGTGCCCAGGTAGTATACACTAACGATACCTCCTTGAAGAAGGCTGTCAGTAACCACAGGGTCGCCTGCATCATTAACATAGCCAAAGCCCATCAGATCAATGTAGTCTTTGGCGTTGTTTACTCCGCCCATCATTCTACGATTGATTAGTCGAGCGCTGCGCTTCGGGAGTAAAGGAGTTTACCCTTGGTCATAGCCTGGATTCTCAAATCAGCGGAGGGCCCAGTGGCCAAGACCATGCATACGTACCGAAGAAGAAGATGGAGAGTGCCGCAACGCAGTTGATGGCGAAGAGAAGGCTCTTCTTCTCGTACTTGTGGGCTATACGCCAGCCAGTTCTCTGATCCATAATGGGCTCTTGTCGCTCGAATCCTCTTCCAGGACTTTGGACGCTTGCGCGCAGTAGCAGAGAGTAGGCGCCGCGTGGGTAGGAGAAGTGAACCTTGAAAGCAAAGACTGACGGAGAAACCGAGGGTAATCCAATTGAATTTATAGTCTATAAGCGCGCCATGCTTCAGTAGGCATACCGGAGCGCGACTCGTTCGCCCGAGCAAGGATTTACGGTGGAGCGCGATGCGGCGGTGGCGGGGTATATATTACCTGTGCGGTTGGTCGAGAGGGTATACAAAGTTACCTTGCTTTTGCCCTGCGTTACCGGCTCCAAGGCAGCATTCCGTCGCTTCAGGACCGATCATACCGAGTGCTATAATGAGAGGACATTGGAACGTTGTGCTGTTGGTAACTTGAAGGGAGCAAAGGTGGGACGTGGCTGACCGACGGGGGGCTTGTACGGCCCTTGGCAATTTGGCGCTCGGGAATAAACATGGCGAATGTCGGCACGATTGTGATCGTCGAACGCACGGAAACGTATGTTGACTCTGTTGTTCATGCAGTTTCATCTCCGACTTAGCAAGCGGTGAGGAAATTCTGCCTGTTCCCTGTAGCATCGCCTTCGCCAATGTCATTCTCTATGATATGGTGCTGCCGCGACTCCGGTCAAACATATCGCAGCTTTCCGAAGAGCACCCCAACGCCACGCCATGCGAATCCATCCCAGCAGAGAGACAAGAACACCAACCTAAGATGCTACGCTACTCATGTCTGTGCACCGCATAGCTGCTCTTGATTCTGATCCTAGCCCCGAAATAATAAAACACGAAAGGAACAGGTGCCATAAGCGCTGATATGGCACCCAAGATCGTCAACGTCCAGTGTGGGTTCATGTTCCTGTAGAACGGAATCCCGACGACAGTCATGCCGCCAGCCGCCAGGTAGCGGGAGAGCGTGACGAAGGAAAGCGCAGAGGCGGCGTACACAGCGTACGAGTCGATCACGTACATGTAGGCCGAGATGAAGATTGTGATGACGCCGTAGCCGAAAAGACCAGAGGCGATAATGGGAGACCAGATCGAGACGGAATTCTAATCATGGGCTGGTCAGCTTTCGCGATCCTTCGCCTCATATGGTAAACGCGGGCGGGATACTGGTTGAAGAGGGGTCAACTCACATAATCGGTCCAGCCCATCCAAAACAATGACACTGGTACCGCAAACGCGCCGCCAAGCATGGCGAACCACAGTCTGGTCTCTGGAATGGGAGGGAGTCCAGCTTGGCCAGTAATCCTCTCCTGCTTTCGCATATCCTGAATCGTCCACTTGTAGATGATCGGAAGAGTAATACCTAGTGGCCAGAATCCGACAAACACGGCAATCCAGATGAGGTTTGTGATACCCTGCGAGACATTGTAGACGTCCGTGAAAATGAACTCAAATCCGACGAAGAAGGTGAAGAGGACGATGTACAGGATCGTCAGGTACAACGACATGAGCAAAATGATTGGCTCGGTCCAGATCATCACAAACGGCCGCCAGAGAGCGATTTTGAGTCTGGTCCAGAGAGATGTCTTGCGCACTTCCAGAGGGGAGCGGAAGCGGTCGTCTCCGGTCAACTTTCGAAAGTGGTGGGCGCGCCAAGACAGCAGTAGAGAAGCGTACGTCTCCGGCTGGCCCAGCACGACGATAGTCAAAACAACGCCGGCGAGGATCAGCATTAGCCATTCACACCACCGCCAGCTCAGGCTGCTGGGGCCAATGTAGCTCCCAATGACGGGTCCGAACAATGGGCCTGCGAACCCGATAAAGGCATAAAGAGGGAAAGCATAGGTTTTCTCCAAGGGGTTCCAAAGATCAGCAATGGTGCCTCCAGCAACCGTCAAGGGCGTCGAGGCGAACAGTCCGGCCAAGAATCTGAAAGTAATGTGACCCCCGAAATTAGGTGCCGCGCCACATCCGATGAGGAAACACATGTAAATGGCGATTGTAACGATGTAGATGAGGTTCCTGCCCAGTGTTTCCGAGAATGGTCCAGCGAACTGCGAGCCCACAGCAAAGCCGAGAAGGTACATGGCAGTGGCCAGAGAGCCGGCAACCTCACTCACACCGAAGTACGCGGCATACTGTGGCAACACCGCGGCATCGATCGAGGATGCTGCGGTACCAGCAAACGCAATGAAGGACACGACCAGCGTAGCCCAGATTCGACTCCCGTGACTCCAGTTGTGAGGCTTCAAGGGATCTTCGGGACCTTCCCATTCAACGACGAACACATGCCCAACTTCACTCTCATTGGTTTGCCGCATGCGCGCGTCCACTCCGGTCAGTGAGTACCCCAAGGCCGTCCTCTCAGAAAAATGTGTGCGGTGAGTTGGGATCCTGACCATGATGTTGTTTGCATTGTCTTCAACTGGATACGAATCCTCAATCTCTTCCTCAAGAGGTGGCGTCTCGGTTGCTTCAGGCTCCGGCGGTAGTCCATGGTCTTCCGGCGTTTCTAACTTTTCCAGTGGCGATTCTTGCGAAGCTTGTGAATTCCGTGGTTGCTCTGTTTCTTGTCGTTGCCCAACGGCACCCCGCGGTGTTCGTGTTGGCAGTCCAAGTTGTTGCGTATAACTCGACAGCGCTTTGGCCTTTTCTTGGTCCCGCTCAATTTGACGCTCCACGGCCTGTCCAA